CAGATTGTCCAAAATTGATGTACAAAAGCTATGCCAAGCGGCGCGGCGCTACGCGCCGCGTTTTTTTTTTTATTTATAGGCAAAAAACGCGACAGGGTGGTAACATATGCATGCCCCCCCCCCCCCTCCACTGGGGCGAAGGTTAATAGGTGCGCGAAAAGTTGATGCGCAAAATGTAGTCAACAGCAAAAAGTAGTCTTAAACAGCAGTCGTTAACTAAGTCGGTACAAGTACACCGCAGCCCGCGTCTCCGGTCAGCGACTGACCCGCGCCGGGCCACCTGATCCACAGCTCCGAGGTCCTAAAAAATTGTGTTTTTAGCAATCGCATCTCGATAACTTAATTGACCTATACATTTCGATGAAAATTGGTCACCTTAATTGTATGCAGTCCGTACCTTTCGATGAAAATAAAAATGCATGATATTTACCTTTGACAGGTCACGCGTTGTACACAAGGCAGCAAGAAAAAAAACGCTTCCATCTCCATTTCCCTACTTGCTCCCTTTGCCCCCACGAGACAGGTATCTCGCTAGTTCAGGGTCAGACATAGGGTCACGGTCCAGGCCCTGGGCAATAAACTGTGCCCGCATTTCCTGATAGAGCTCGCGATACTTTTTCAGAAGGTCTGTCGACCTAGGAAACTGCTCCGTCTCTATCATCAGAGAAGGGGTTTCGGTGTCTGTTAGGATCGTGACGAGGTCGTTCACAGCAAAATTGGTGAAAATTGGTCACCTTAATTATATGCAGTCCGTGAATATTAACAGGTTGTTGTCTGTTGATGCTGATATGAGCGTTCCTTTCAAGGCAGGACAATCCGACAATCACACAATTGCCTCTCGTTTAAACTTCCACCTATCTAAAAGAAACGACGCGCTTTACTATTGTACCAATTGTACCATACAATACGCTTGAACTATAATAAAAGTGTGAAATCGCTTATAGAACCCGTGACGGAATCAATTGATGAGAAACGTCTCCCTACACAATAAAGGAAATTTGAACAAGCGAGCCTTTCGTATCGATAACATTCCGGGTTACTATATTTGTTGAAATAATTCCAGTAAACTGCGCCTGGGACAGCCAGTTGTCTCGAAGGATCATGTAACGCTGCCTCATGACAACCTTACGATGCGAGCGAGCTCCCACCTAGCACGTAAGTGTCAACGAATGTGTGTCAGATTTCAGCCAAGCATGCCTGTGTGACCAGCTGAGTCGCAGTTGTGGGCCATGGGAATAACCATCAGTCGCGCAATGGAGGCAGTCTCGCTTCAATGTCCAATGATGCAGGTTATATTGTGCAGCATCCTGCTTAATTGTGTACAGCTGTTTGTAAATGTTATCTCATGTATCTCATGTATATCGTATGTAATGACTGATGATCCAGGTGTCATTGACTTTGTCTCTTTGACTTGCCCTTTTGAGTTTTTGGATTTTAGCTTTTTTCCTTTGGATTTTTCGTAATTTGACTTTATGTCCTGTTGACTTTTCGTCTTTTGACCTTTGTCCTCTTCACTTTTGTCCTTTTGACTTTCTGTCCCTTTGATTTTTTGTCCTTTTGACTTTTTGGACTTTGACTATAGTTATGTCTTTTTGACTTTTTGACCTTTTGACTTTTTATTTTGACTTCATACCCGGTTGACTTGTTGTTTTTTGACTTTTTGTCCTTTTGACTTTTTGTCTTTCGACTTTTGTCCTTTTTACTTTTTGGCAATTTGACTTTTTGCCGTTTTTACTTTTTGTCTTTTGACCTTATGCCCATTTGATTTTTTGTCTTTTGACTTCTATGCTAGTTGACCTTTTGTTCATTGACTTTTTGGCAATTTCACTTTTTATCTTTTGACGTTTTATCCTTTTTGACTTTTAGACTTTTGACTTTCCTCTTTTTTGACCTTTTACCTGTTGACTTTTAAGATTTTTGACTTCTTGCTTTTGACGTAATGTCTGTTGACTAATCAACCTTTTACCTTTTATCATTTGACTTTTTGTCCGGAACCCTACCTTTAGTTACCAGTAGAAGGTTACTATTCCATCTTACTTCAGTTCAATTAATTTTATTTCGATTTCAATTCAAATCACCCAATATGCTAAAAAAACGTTTCACACCATTCAAACTGGTCTTAGGTTTGTTAACCCGCGCCCCGCTGGGCTATTCAGCCATACGCGCCTTGCTGGGGGGGGGGCAGATTCTGCCCCCCCCCCCCCGTCTAACTTCCATTCGAACCGATGGTCGTAGAAAGACGGGGAAAACGGCAATCGAAAGTTTTCAACAAGACTGATCTTAAGAGCCATTTTTTTGCTTAAGTAGGTCAGAGGTCAGGTCAAGGTCAGGTCAAGGGTACAAAATGCAAGTTTCTACAGTATCGGCCTTGCACCGTAGTTGCCGAAGAATGGACTGAGACTGATTGCCCAAAACGTGTTCTTAGACTACCAAGACAATATTCGTTGCACACAATGTCATTCAAAGGTCAAGGTCAAGGTCAGGTCAGGTCAGGTCAGGTCACCAAAAACAAAATATAGAAAAGGGCATGTGCGACACATGTTTTATGGGTCATTTTACTCATGGAATTCAATAGGCACACTCAATAAGTGATATGGACCACCTCTGGATGAATTTCAGGTCGAGGTCAGGTCAAGGTCAGGTCAAGTGAGGTCAAATTTTGAAGTTGGTTGTTAAGGCCTAAAAAGGTGTCTATCCGATGCAGTTTTTCACGGCAAATCGAATGGTGCTATTTTTATTTCCGTACGAGGTCTAGAACTTCCAAAAAAAAAACATTTTTCAAAATTTTGGTGTGTCGTGCCGTCATAAAATTTTGAATAACTCCCACATTTTTGAACCGATTCTTCTAAAAATTGGTATGTAGGTGCACATGGACCACTTCTTTGACATATATTCCGGTTTTTTCGATCAACTCAAAATTTTGGATTTTATAAATATTTTCCCAAAAAAGTCAGTTTTTTGGAAAAATTTTGGCCAAAATCCAAAATTTTCAAAAAACCGAGATAGCCATTTGATAGACAAAGTAGAATCACGTATAACCTTTTTTGTTACGTCTTGATTCCTTTAAAAATGAAGAAGTTAGCGGCGTTTGAAATTTTGCCGTTTTTTAGGCGAAAATGGCGAACATGACGTCACTAAAACGTCAATTTCTCAAAAAATTTCCGACGGATTTCGCTCAAATTTTCAGGGGACGTGTCAAATTGATGTATGATAAGGTACTGAAAGTTTGACGTCGCTGGCGTAACGCGTTTAGAGTTATTGGCGAAAAACGGGAGGGGGGCAGATTCTGCCCCCCCCCCCAGCGGGGCGCGGGTTAAGCGGCTGAAGTAAACGGCGTTAAAAATACTTTTTCTTTCGCACTGTTACATTTTCATATTGAATCGTCATCGCTTTACGAGTCATCAACAGATGTTTATCGCGTTATCACTATCGAAGTCGCAATTCTCCTAGTTATAGGCTCCTAGTTTCAATCCAATCCTAGTTTAGGAGTCATTGTTATCGAAGGCCGGTTAAAGACGTCAATTGTCCATCATTGGTTCGAAATCGCCCCAGTAATTACCGAGTTACTGAAATGGGAACAAATTTGGCACCTCTTCTTTTTGTATTTTGCACGTGCATTGGGGGTCACTCACATAGATCAAGGGTATCCGACCTTTGGTAGAAGGGATGCAGCTACCCTATAAAAATTACCGCAAGACAATCGCTCAAGCCGCTGCTGAGATATGGGCCTCTCAAAATCATTACTTTTGCAAAACTGCTTGAACACCCTTGACTTCTCACGTGGCACGTGCCACGACGGCCACTGAGATGTATCAAAAGTAGTCAATTACGGGGAAGAAGGGATGGGGCTACCCAGCAAAAAAGACCGCAGGCCAATCGGTTCAGCGGTTGCTGAGATATAAGCCTCTCAAAAGCGTTACAGGCCGGGCCGGGCCGCTCATACTGAGATTTTCCCGTTATATTCAAAAGACTTCGTTCGCTCGCTGCGCTCGCTCGCTCGTAACAACACTATTCTATACGATTATTTACTTTACGAACGTAACGTTACGATCTTTTGTCGAACGATCTTTTACAACACACGATCTTTATCTTACGATCATTTTCCTACGATCTTTCTTGTACGATCCATTGCTTTACGATCTTTTGCTTACGATCCTTGGTCGTACGATCTTTTGCGACATGCAATATTTATCTTACGATCGATCATTTTCCTACGATTAATTGCTTTACGATCTTTTGCTTACAATCTTTTTGTCGTACGATCTTTTACAACATACGATCTTTATCTTACGATCATTTTCGTACGATCTTTTTCCATACGATATTTTGTCTTACGATCTTTTGTCACGTTATCGCACGGCAGCGCTCATATCCTGTTTGGGAACATACCATCAAAGTGACGTATTGCTAATCGGCCACGGTGGAGAGGTCGAAGGGAACTACACTGATGCTTTCGTAATTTCAACTCCACGCCTACTGGGGAGGGGGATTCCCCCCCCCCCCCCAAAAAAAAAAACACACAACGTCCCACCTTGAAATACCTATGTCGTTTCAATATTATTTTTCCAGGAATTAAAATATGGAAGGTAGTCAAATTTTCCGTAGCTCATGGATTTCAGTACGGGGTCTGCCCTACACCAGTTGTCTGGTGTCGGTAGGTATGTACCCAACAGCCCAGATTCCGGAACAAGAAATGGAAATAAAGAATGAAGATGGGAGCTGGTCCCGCCAGAAGGACCAATGACTTTACATACATTTTAAGCAGTTCGTTGCATTTGTCCTCAGCGAGACGTCTCCCTAACATCTCCAACACGTTAAAACTGCAATTCATTCTTTAGACATCCAAGTTGCAAAAAAAAATCCTCGACTTATCCAGACAGAGCAGGCGTTGATTCATTCAGCAAGGATCACCATCCGGTCCAGTTCGGACGTGCATGCCTACCCAGTTCGCCTCTACATTCCGGCCCGAGTCGGAGACCCGTGGCGCCAGCTGGCGGCGGGCAGTGACGTCACTGGCCGGCGGCGGCCGACCCGCTATGCGGCGCGGGTCATCGGCCGCCGCCGGCCGCCGCTGCGCTGACGTGGTGTTGGCCTGTGACGCGGCGCTGCGGTCTCCGGCAGCCGGCCGGCCCCACTCGAGCGGCGGAGACGGGCGGACGGCACGGCTCGGGGGCGGTCGGACCGGCGCGGACCAGTCTCCAGCAACCGAGGGCCAGTCTCCACCTGCAGTCTGACGTCCCCGGACACAACACACACAGGTGAGGGGTGAGCGGGTTTTTCTGTCGTTTTGATCGAACTAGTCAGCTGATGATTACATTCGCTGACCTTGTGGCTTCGTGTTGGTTCGGGCTTCCGTCAATGGAAGGGCAGACGTTATATGGGTAGGATTCGCTATAGCCTTGAGAACCATATGATGTAGGTAGTGGCAATCGGTAGCTGTTGATGTTTAGCTATACGGGATGTAGACGGTAGAAGATTGACGTTGAGTACATTTAGCAGGCGCTCGTTCCTGGTGAAATATCTGCCGCCCCGCCTATAACATGTCAAAATGTGTGTAAAGATGCAATCGGGATTTCTGGGGTGCAATGCCCGCTCGTAAGGCGATTTTCACTAAAACCATTCTCACAAACGGAAAGTCGTGCATGTAGTTCCAGCCTCCATTATATATGATAAGTGCGCCGCCTCCATCGCTGAGTTAAGTAGTTCCAACACTGCATACATTATTTAGATTTCCTGTGCCCCAAATCTGTACAGCATTGGTACTAAGTCCCAACACCGTGCCCTTCTTTTGATACCGCGCCGGGCCAGGGTTCTGTGCCGCCCCCGTGGACACACTGCCGCTCCCGTGGGCACTGTGCCGCCGTTGCCGTCCAGACTTCCAGTGCCGTGACGCCGCCCGGTGCCGTACCGTGACGCCGTTTGGCACACGTGGCAGAAGGCAGAGCGTCCGTGACAGAGGGTAGAGCGTCCGCGGCAGAGGGTAGAGCGTCCGCGGCAGAGGGTAGAGCGTCCGCGGCAGAGGGTAGAGCGTCCGCGGCGGACTGGCGGCGGACCGTGGCATCCGCCGGTGGGCCGAACGGGACCGAGAGACCAGCGGTAGGGCACCGGGAGACCATTGGTCTGAGTCTGAACCAGATGGGATGGTCTCAAATGGCAAATAAATTGCCACTTTTTATTCGCCACCTTCACCACAAAATGTATAGTAAGATAGCTGATCCTTTGCGCATTTGGAGCCTATGTGAAAGTCGAGCTCGAGGTGCATTTTTCGTACCTAATGCCATCTCATTCGGAGAAGCACCTAAATGAGGCGGCATTGGGACATTTGCCTCACTTTGATAAGGATTATATGGATATATGGACTGTGCGCTGATCCGAGGAAATCAGCATTGGAGGCCCAAAAATAAGTGCACTTTTATCCATCTTTTTACAATGAAAAGGGGGTCAGAATATTTAAAAATTTGGATATAGGATAGCCCATACTTTTATCTACCTGTCGGATTACATTTTTTTGTTTAATTCAAAATAAATAAGAAATAAATGTATATAAATGAGAACATGTTTTCTCGTTCAGTTAGCCATTTGTTCACGCTGGAGGTATATACTTCACAAATGCAGCCGTACTTTGCGCGCATTTTCTTGCTTTTGAATGTTGGTTGCATTGTTGGCTGTCGTTGCTAATTTGTCGGATCGAGTCATTTACGTTGGTTTTGAAAAGGGTTTTGAGAAATAACGATACATTATATAGGGCCACAAGAAGCAGTAAAAATAAGTAAGAAATAGCTCGAAAAATGGTCAAAAAAGGAAAGAATATTATCGATCACTACCTCATCACGACCGGATCAGAAAACGTGTGGTGCGAAGATGTCATTCCGGGTATCAAGCCAGAGTCAGGGCGAGAAAAATGTGAAACGAAACATAATTTCTAGCAAAAAGGCAACTTTTTAGCCTCCCGTATAACTAAAAGGAAAAAATGTTCACAGACGAAACCATCAATCGAGATAAGAGATAACGCTGAGGACAATCAGATTTGCAAGTTTACTTTTGCAAACACTGACTCCTGTGAGACTCACACAGCAAGAAGAAAAACAGGACGCTATCGACGGCGCCAGTCTCAGCATACTTCCTATAATGCCTAGTGCCTTATTTTATTCTGGAGAAAAAAAGACTCACTGAAAGGAGCTACAAAGACTTAACTTGACCAGCAGTTAATGTGAAAAGAACAACTCGACATCGCAGTTCGAAGCTACGCCGCGCTAAATAATGCCATACCCATGGCAGTGATACGCCACTACATCCAAAAGAAGTAAGCTTATTCAATCAAACAATGAAGTTTATCCAGTGTGTCGTATGGGGTTATAGTTCATTATGGTCTGGATCAAATCATCTCGGAAGAATGCTCGATGAAATGATGGAATTCGTACCCTTCGCATCAATGTTAAACGATGAAGGTTGCCGCTCTTAAATGTTACCGCAAAACTTGCATCGGGATCGGGAAGCTCAAGAATACGCCAGTCTGCGAAGAACGGACGGAAAAATAGCGGTGGAGCAGAAACAAGATGCATAGGACTGATTGGAGTATAAGTAGCTGGGACAAACATCTGTGCCGGTGGTGGCCTGTTATTACAGGAACTTCTACTTTGGATATCTCAGGAAACTGGCAGGTCACCATTTCTAGGCCAGCTGTGGACATTTTTGATGGAGAAGCCAAGAAATGTGCCAAGGGCGAAGAGCATACTGTAACTAACGAGCTACAGAATATGACGGAGGCGCCGGGGGCACTAATCGTTTGGCCGAACGGGGAAGAGCACTTGATCCGCGCCCCGGCAGGTTACCTGTGCTCCAGCTTCCGAGCTGAGATGGTCGCCCTCCGAGCTGCTCTCTCCTAGCTGCTGGAGAACCCGCCGCACGCCGAAGACACCATCGTAGCCTGCACCGACTCGCAGTCCGCCCTCGCCGCCCTCCGAGGTGGCTGGGCCGCCCAGCACTCCTCGCTCGGAGTGGACATCTGGAGAGCCCTCTGGGGACGGACAGCTGGAGGCCTGTTGGTCTACCTACAGTGGGTGCCCTCACAATTTAGGTTGGAAGGCAACGAGAGGGCCGACACCATCGCCAAGAAGGCAAACATACTCGACTAAAAACAAATCCTTATAGACGTCCAGAAGGCCCACTGGGCCGCCGCCAGAGTGGCGAGGGCTCGCACCGTCGGGGCCTGGCCAGCCGGCTGGTTCCACCAGCTGACGGGGATCGACTCCCGCCTACCGTTGCCGGCGGCGACCGGCCAGCGGCGGTGGAAATGGACATCCACCAGCTCCGCGCCGGCCACTGGACAAGCTCCTCCCAATGGCGCCACAGAGTCGGGTTGGCGCCCTCCTGGCTGTCGGGGTGCAACCAGTGCGACGACCGACAATGCAGAGCCGCACTCTACCCGTCTGCTGAGAGGAGGCGGACAGCCCAAGCATGTCCTCCTGCGGTGCCCGGCTCTGATGGGCACCCGACATCGCCTGATGGCGACCATCAACCCCAACATAGAGGAGGTGCGGAGCGGCAGCATCGTGGTGGCCCTGGGGGCCGCCCACAGGCCCCTTCAGAGCTGGTCGGCTACGTCTCCATGGGACGAAGGGACACAATAAAAGCAACAATAGCTACAGCATGACAACGTGATGGGAACGACCGTCACAAGAGCTATCGCCTTATCATTCAGCAGCGAGTGGAAAACGAGCAGACGGAGGGATACGTTGCAATTGGTGATGCGCATGTGCGAATGTGTGAAAGTGCGACTATGTGTAGATGCGTGGTGCGAAAAAGTGGGTAGCAGAGAAGAACAGTGAAGACACCGTTGCAGCAGACACACATTTTCCCGTAAAGTCTCCCATCGGCATTACCGCCAACCTTTACCACCAGCGCGGTCGGTGCACTGTCGCGCGAGTTTGTAGCCAGCCATGTCAGAGATGTGAACAATCCAGCACACGGGGGAAGAAGAAAGGGATGATAGCCACCCTTTCTCGCTGGATCCCGCGGTGAAAATGGACTAACGCCATTTTCAAGCCCACTGGTGCAATGTCAGATGAACTTGACATGAGGACATCAATGGGTGTCGATGAACGTGAAATGATGTTCCAATACAGATTCATATCGACCAGAAGCCTTTCTTATTCTGAGCTACGAGCAATAGATAGTACAATAACAAAATATATTACATAAAATTCAGCCTGTCGACAGGAAACAATAAAAGGGTATTGTGTTACAACATATGGGTTCATATTACGGCTTCAGAAATTTGGGCCTCCAATGCTGATTTCCCAAATCAGCGCACAGTCCATATATAGAGAAGTCTGTGATTAACCCTATTAGTGGCAGGCTCCTGGCTACCCCTATTAGTGGCAGGGGGGCTGTTTACGACCCCCCCCCCCCCTTGATATCTCGAGATCTAACGGGCCGATTTTCAAAATTCAAACGGCATTCGATTTCGCTCAACGTGATCTACATTTCTAAAAAATAAAAATTAAAAAAATGTCAATAGGGGGGTAGAGGAGGGTAAAAACGGGCAAATTGCAGATACATTTTAGACTGTTTATCACGGCCAGGTTTCTGAACCAATCTTAACGCAACTTTTGCCGATCGATAAAGAATGAACCAGGAATTCACATGGATCCTAAAAATATGCATTTTCAAAAATCATAGGCGGATACAGATCATTGAGATTGGGGGTACACAAAAAGTATAGTAAATAAGGTTTTTGTTGGTACTGTTTCTAAAAAGGGTGGTAATGGTCTTGTTTTGTTACAATTTTCTTATGAGAGAACGACTACAATTGTATTGGTCATGCATAGGCGGTGTCAGGGCACCTATGTTGGGAGGTAAAACATAACCCCCCTTTTTGGACGCCTGGATACGCCTATTATAGCAAAAACGTGTCAAAAGAGGATGCACAATAGCTGTATATGTTATCACATGATACCTTTCATTCACTGTTCGTAAAACTGGTGCAGCATCGTGATCTTCGCCCAAATGACTCGCTTCACGAATAGGACCCCCTAATTCCCAGTGCACTGGAGCCACCCCTGGTAAAGTTTTAACTTGAAATTTTCCAGGAATGTGCCCAATTTAGTTTTAGGAAAAGTCAGAAAATTTCAGCATCGTAGCTTCAGCGGTTTCGGAGATATTCTCGAAAAACCTGAGGGGTGGATGAAACCCCCCCTGCCACTAATAGGGTTAAACGGTCACGAGTTGGAAAAAATACGGATTTTGTCTTAAATAATTCGCCATTATTTCTATGCTTCATGGCATGCCTGTAATGTTGAGGAATCAAATCTGTCATTTACTTGATTAACAAATGTATTTTTATAAATACTAGGTTGTTAGCATTTTATCAGTACCTACCTACACATTGTTATATAGAAGGGGTTATCATGGAGCTGGCGATGGACAGGAACTGCCACTTGCTCGTCTTCGACGAGCCTGGCGTTCCGCTTCCTCGGACGGTTTAACTGTCCCTCAACTAAGATAAATGCCAAGGCGTCTCTCTGAAGGTCCCTATGTCAACAATGTCCCTCACTAAATGTCTAACTAACTAGCTAACTAAATGTCTGCGCGGCGCTGGGGGAGGGAAATTTTACCCCCCCCCCCCCTCACCCTCCCGGATTTTTGCGATAACTCATAAACGGCGTAAGCCGTAAGCTATCAACACGAAACTTTCAGTACCTACCTTCTTTTGCATCAATTTGACACATGCTGTGAAAAGAAATACGAAATTCTTTGGAAACTTATGGGAAAAAATGACGGTTTTATAGCGTCACTATACGCGATTTTCGGGCGAAAATTACAGCCCAATTTTCAGACACTTCTCCTTCATTGAATAAGCCATTTACATTTTTAAAACATAACAAGACGCAGATGTTGAGGCATACAAAATAGCTATCTCAAATTTCCAAAATTTTGAAGTTTTGGCCTTGCAATTCCCAAAAACATCAAAAGTCATAAATTAAAAAAAAAAACAAAAAAATATCCCCCAAACAACTAGAAACAATTTTTTTTAAGAATTGAAATTAAAAATCGTAAAATTGTGTGTCACGCATGTATGGACTACACTGAACTCTATAATGATGGACTAGCTATACGCATTATGCATGCCAAATTTCAAGTCAATCGGTTCAAAAATGGTTTTGATATCGTCCAAAATCTTCGAAAATGTCCATAGGTAGGTAAAATGTTCAAAATCGTTCTTGACCAAAGTATGCAACACAGAAAGATAAAATATCACCATTGAACTCCCCGTAAAATTATGCATCCAGAGAAACCTTTTTATGGCAAAAATAACAATTTTGACATTTTCACATCTGTGTCTTGGCCTTTAACCTGACCCTGACCTCAGATTTACCCCCCCCCCCCCCAGCGCCGCGCGGTCGGCTGGAGACCCCAGCGCCGCGTGGGACTGTGGTGGATAAATGGTCTCTCACCATCAGTTCATGTTGCCTGTCTGATAGTTCGCCCGTCCCTGACATCCCGGCACCACCGTGTGTCCCGCAGAGGCTCCAAGATGCGCGCCACTCTGCTGCTGCTGCTGGCGGCCTCCGTCTGCGCCGAACAGGCCTGTCGCGGGCCCGACTGCAGCGGCTCGGACAGCGAGGGCGCCGGCAAGTACTCCCGAGAGAAGAACCAGCCCAAGCAGGAGATCCGCGCGCAGATGGCCAAGCTGCAGTCGGCGCTGCTCAACCTGATGAAGGACCCGTACAACCCGGAGGTGCTCCGCTCCTCGCTGGCCGACCTCGCGCTCTTCGCCGACACGCCCGAGGGGAAGCGCTTCCTCGAGCGCTTCGGCGATGTGATGGACGGAAATGGCGGCGGCGCAAGCGGTGCCATGATCCGGCAGATCTTCGGCTCGGTCCTCGCTGGCAACGTGGACTTCAGCAAGCTGATGACAGACGGCATCAGTGCCAGCACGCTGGCCACCCTCGCCACCGGGCTGCTGAAGAAGGACGGCGGCGGAGGCAACGGCATCAAGATGGAAGACCTCAAACCGATCATGCAGAACTTCATGCAGGTCATCAAAGACGAACAGGCGAGTCCGTTCCTGCTTGATCGGCTCACCGACGCGTTTAAGGAGACCATGACCGAAGCTGAACTGAAAAAGTTCGAGAGGTCGGCGGCGGGTGTGCTGGGAGGCATCAAGGCCGCCAGTAACCTGGACGACTCGGACTTTGTATACGACCAGAGCGCGCTGGAGACGTTCGAATCCTTCATGCAGGACTTTGTCGACGAGCAGGAGTGGGATTGGTCTCGGACCGGCTCCACCTTCATGCGGGAGGTGAAGAAGGTGATGCGAGCGTTCCCGGGCTCCGAGGACCAGATCGGTCGCCTGCTGCCGTCTCTGATGGAGGTGATTGCTGACGAGAAGCCCTCTGAGAAGGAGCTGCCAGAGATCATTACCAACTTTGGCGGTATCCTTGGCAATGCCGTGAAGAAAGACAGCGCAGAGCCGGAGCTTGTGAAGCTCATGCTGCAGAAGCTAAAAACACCACTCGACGAGAAAGCCAAACAGAGCGAACCAGAAAACGAGGCGTTCGTTGAAGAGGAGAATCCGGAGGATAATGAAATCGACACTGAGCCAGTGGAAGACGTCAAGCCGAAGGCTAAATCTCGCGGCGAAGCACCGAAGACTGAAGAAAAGAAGGCCACCATCAGTGCGGATGAGGTTCTCAAAAAGGCTGAGGACATGGTTAACAAAGTGCCAGACCTGTCCAAGCTCACAGACTCGCTGAGTGCCATCGCCAACGACCCCGTGGCACTGCAGGCCCTGATGATGAAGGCCGCAAGCGGTGGTCTGGACATGAACAGCATATCCAGCATGCTGCCAGAGGTGGACGGAATGGAAGACATCACGGCCTACCTGGGCCAGATCCAGAACAGCAAGGACGAGAAGGAGGTGGCCGGCCACTTCCACGCCGTGATGGACTCTGTCGGCGACGCGTTCAGTCTGCTGAACAGCGAGGACATCCGGCGGTCGGCCATCGAGCAGGGTCTGCCCTACATCCGCATGGTGCACGACTTCCTCAAGGAGCCACTGGCGCTAATGAAGATCCAGATGGGCGTGGCGTCGCTGGCGAGCATGTACGACACCTCGGTGGAGAAGCTGATCGACATGGCGGCGCCCATCGTGGAGGAGTATGCCGAGCCCATGGGCATCCAGCTGGACTTCAAGAGCTTCTGCGACGACACGCACAAGTTCTTCCTCAAGGTGTACAACGAGGTCTACCAATCGCGAAAGAGTCCCATCAAGAAGCTGTCGGGTGTGAAAGAGGACCAGTACATCGTGGAGACGGTGGACCACTCTGTTGGCGAGCCGGTGATGTTGGCCTACAGCGCCTACCGGCAGGTTCGCCGGCGGCCCGAGTGCCTGCTGCAGGCGCTCTGTCGCGCCAACCGAGAAGCCAAGGAGACAGACGCCGGCGCGTACGGGGTCCGCACCACTGTCACAAAAAGCATCAGGTGAGACGCGCGCTCCGCGAGCCGAGCATGCAAAAGGCTTCTTCAGCCGGATGCTGATACCACTATAGGGGTGAATGGTTTTCCAAGGCCCTTGTATGTTTACCTAACGTAAAAATTACTGTGTTGTTTTTAGGGCCATGTTCGATGAACGTTTATTTTGCATTTTACTTTTGACGCGCTTTTTCACGTTTCATACTGCAATCTCCACGCGATCATTACAGAACCTGTACCTAAGTGGTATTACCAAACACTTGATCCGTGTTATCCACATATTGTGGTTTAACAAAATGTCGAGAGACTCTCGATTCCACAATAATCAAATGCGTGGTGTTCACAACTCAGATGCCCGTAAACCTCTCCTTTGTTTCTCTGGTGTTTCTTCTTCCCCACTCCGGCTGTGACCGCCTGTTACGCCTGTTCCCGCTGTGACTGTCCCAATATGGCCGACAGCCGGCTGTTCGGCATGCTGCTGGCCTCTGTGGAGCACGAGATGGACTCGGTGGTGCACGACCAGGTTACCGAGGCTGTCGCCGAGGGACAGGCCGACGGCAACTGCGAGGTGAGCTAGCCGCTGGGCGTCGAGGACGCGCAGTACGCGAGGGGGACGCGCGAGGGAAGTCATTTTGACGGAGTCTGCTCGGGTTCCTTTTTGTTTGAATGGGATGAATTATGATAAGTGGTCTGCGCGGCCTCCTCCGGCGTTAAATATAGAAATTAATCATAAACGGCGGATAATGTATGAACTAAATATGAAGCTCAATTAAGATGCAAAATTAACAAGTGTGCGATAGTAGGGTAAGGTGCCTAATTAGCGACCCCCTTAAGTTGAACCGTCGTTGCTCACGCTCTATGGGTGCCACTGCCTTACTGGCTTGATTTTCGGAGAGATCGTTCATTTTTCTATTAGTTAAATGTAGTCATTTTCTGCTCCAATATCCACTAATTTATTTGTAGTGAGCATTTTGGCAAACCATTGCAAAAAAAAACGCTAATATGGAACTCTTTCAGATTAGCGACCGGGGAGGGTCGCTAATAAGTCTATGGGGTTTCCCATATTAAAAATGGCAAAAAATGCGACGCCTGAAAAGATGAAATATGATCCCAAAAAGGTAACCTATACGCAAAGCACTCAATGACTCGAACAGGAACGTTTATCCAACACGTTTACGTAATAAGAAGAAACTGATCACGTGATGCACCGAAGGCGAAAAGAAGGCGAAAGCCCCAATTTCGCGGGCTATCTTGTATGATAGTTATTCGAGGTCCGCGCTGGATTCGGCACTCCTGCAGTCGGTGACGACATTTGGCATCCTCTGCCACACATTGCAAGCTTCAGCAAAACCTCATTTTCATTTCTCTCTTTCCCCTTCCTTTCCCTTCTTGAGCTATTTGCGACCATGTCGGGCGCGAATAGGATTTATGAGTTGCGACACATTTTTAACTGCCATGCAGTGCACAGCTAAGCGATTCACTATGTGAACGCGATAATCAATTGAAAAAGGATTGTCAATTCAGAATAAAAAAGGTGCATCATTCTAATGTGCACCGCATTTCATCAGAGAGGGCCCAAATAGGTACACACGTTTTGGATAAGAAACTCGTGATTTTTATTTAAGCTCATCTGAAACGTCCCACCAGAAACACCGACAACCGGAAAATATTTTAATTTGATAACCAAAGTATGGCTGACCTTTTGACAATGTTTTTACCCCGCTTTCTCCTGCCAGTTTTTCTGTAGGGAGGTAGGTCGCAAATAGGAAAGGGTCGCTAAATGGGCACCTCAACCTATACAGTGCATGGATGATATGCAAAACTGTCTTTTACGTGTCTTCTTTATATCGACGCTGTGCCACGTAGATATGTGACGCGATTGGATGTGCTTCGAATGCCTTGCACTGACGTAGCGACAGCTATGCTGGCTGTTTAACTCTCTTTTCAAAGCTAACGCGTCTGTCTAACCCTTTCCTCCCACAGAAGCTGTACCCGGCCGACTGTGACGAGGACCCGGAGGAGCTGGACGTCATCTTCTGAGGCCGAGCCGGCGTCACTCGGTCGCGTGACGTGACGCGATGACGTGCCGTGACGTGAGGCGGGTGTGACTCGGCCGTGACTGCCGGGCGCGGCGGCCCGTGCGAACCGTTACACAGTCGCGACAGCCTCCCATCTGAGCGCCGCTCGAGCCCGGAGTGGGCCGCAGAACGGTACCTCGATCAGTGGATCCCGCTGAGTCACTATACGCGGGCTCGGAGGCAGGAAAAGCTCAATGCTGTGAGTGATGCGTCAGTCGGTCTGGTGAATTCCGTCAGGTGAAGATGAAAAGAGGGCATTGCGCTTTAGTCAACACTTGTTAAAACTGAAATGAGATGCATTATGGCGGAATGGTTCGGCCTAAATCACGTTGTGTCTGTCTCGATAATTTACTTCGACTGGACGGTTTTCAAAGACTTCAGGAATCTCACCAGTGTAGGTCGTTACTTCCTGCACAACTTCCTTGCCTACTTGCGACTGACTAAGAACGCACATTTATAACGTGCATGATCATCACAGATTGTAATCGTGTTTGTTATGCAATGAAATATATTTTCATAGAATTTCTGTTAATATTGATATGCACGTATCATTGGAATGCATACAGGTTCCTAGAATTGACTGATAAAACGAAATGCCTTGAATGGCATATCTGCAAGGTATGCAATAATGTCTATCGGCTATTGTTGAATCACAATACAGTCCGTTTGCCGTCCATAGATGCCTGCGCTTCTTTCGCTTCTATATTGAAGACTGCTGTGCACTTCTTTCGTTTCTGTATTACAGACTGCTGAACGTTTATCATTTTGTAGTGCTTTCCTGTGAAACACGTACCTACTGTAAAGCGTTGATAGAGCACGTCTCTCGATAATTCTGGTGCATTATAGAACGTAAACTATCGTTTCCCGCGGCTCAAAGCTCGTCAGGTGTCGACGCCCTAATAAAGGGACTAGCCCGATTCTTCGTATGTTGACTTGTGTTCCGCCCGCCCTTCAAGGACACTCAGAGAAGGTGTGGATCAGTTTGTTATCTCATTTTTAGGTGTCTGCAGCGCGCGTGTGTGCGTGTCCGCGTCTGTCTGGGTGTTTGTAATGATACTCTGACATTATGTGAATGCGATTGGCTGCAATATAACTTGTATTACGTGACTTCTGTGTTAAGTACTTGTGGATAGTTGTCATTCGTCATGAGTGACAAATTTTGCGCGCTTTCCTGGGAGAACAAAAAAACAGTTAAATATTGTTGTTATTTATTGTTATGTTGATTATTATTCATTATTAATTATTGTTATTAATAGTTATCAATTATTAATAGCCATCAATTATCAATTATTTGTTAATATGAATTATTCCAATTAAATGATAGGTAATTATCAAATCAATAATTACGACCATCGATGATTTTGTTATCATTTCACACAAGGATTTCACCTGCGTTGCGGATTGCCTAAAAAAAGTATATCTGTTAGGTTTGAAATTAACCGTGTACCGATTAGTTTTTGTTGTAATTAAATAGTCCAAAGAATCAATCGACAGTTTGAGGGGCTTGTTCTGTAGCATTTAGTCGTTATTTCATGTCATTATAATTATACGAAGCCAATATCTATCAGTGAATAAATATATGACTCGGCAAGTCAGGACTCCGGAACCAGCAGGGGAGGCGAGGCGGACGAAATTTCTAGAAGACGCGAATCATCAAACCCTCCCTCTACTCTTCCGCACAACTATGGTCAGCTTACTTAACCCTCCAGTACCTAATTGGTGCTTTGCCAGTCGCGAAAGTATGGGAGAGGGGGTGTCGGTTGGGCCCCCTTGCGGGCCTTGCCGTTCGGCCCCTAATCGACCTGGAGCCTCACGAAAAAAAAAAACGAACGTGTTGCCCGTGACGAGAGGAAGCCGATGATACCCAATTCTAAGGTCCCAGATCATTGGTTGACCTTCCAGGTCAGGTCAATTACCCAAAAGTCGGGAGAATCGGGACCTGTTAGAGGTTCGTAAAGTGAGATTATTATATGTTGATCAAGACAGCCCATATTCAGCCCAGATTCAGCCCGGATTCAGCCCAGATTCGGGACACCTCCGATCAAGCTGAAACTCGCACGCAATGTAGGCTATGACATGCCTAATCCACAGTCCAAGTCATTAGGTGGCACTCCCAGCCGTTTGACCTACAGAGGTCAACAAAGGTCACGTGGCCCAAATTTGCACAGCAGATTGTGGCCCACCCGGTAGAGCTAGAGCGCTAAAAATGGCACCAATCCACTCGCCAGCATCAAACCTTACTTTCCCAACACTCATTTGACCTCTCAAGGTCATGCGATGACCTAAGGTCATTTGTGGGCTATGTCGAAAATACAATTGCACAGCAGTTTTCGAGTAGAGGGATTGACCGAATTCCAAACCAAAGCACATTATCGGGTAGCCCATAGGCCGTAGTAACTTTCCTTAAAAACCGCTTTTCGATATGTGACCCCGTTTGACCTCGGCAGGTCAAAATGTGCAAATAAACGACACTCAATACGTCGCAGCCCGGATTCAGCCCAGATTCGGGACGCCTCTGATCAAGCTGAAACTCGCACACAATGTAGGCCATGACATGCCTAATCCACAGTCCAAGTCATTCGATGGCACTCCCAGCCGTTTGACCTACAGAGGTCAGCGAAGGTCACGTGGCCCAAATATGCACAGCAGATTGTGGCCCACCCAGTAGAGCTAGAGCGCAAAAATGGCACTTATCGACTCGCCAGCATCTAATCTTACTTTCCCAACACTCATTTGACCTCTCAAGGTCATGCGATGACCTAAGGTCATTTGTGGGCTATGTCGAAAATACACTTGCACAGCAGTTTTCGAGTAGAGGGATTGACCGAATTCCAAATCAAAGCACATCATCGGGTAGCCCATAGGCCGTAGTAACTTTCCTTAAAAACCGTTTTCCGATATGTGACCCCGTTTGACCTCGGCAGGTCAAAATGTGCAAATAAATGACACTCAAAACGTTGCAGCCCGGATTCAGCCCAGATTCGGGACACCTCCGATCAAGCTGAAACTCGCACACAATGTAGGCCATGACATGCCCAATCCACAGTCCAAGTCATTCGGTGGCACTCAAAGCCGTTTGACCTACAGAGGTCAGCAAAGGTCACGTGGCCCAAATTTGCACAGCAGATTGTGGCCCACCCAGTAGAGCTAGAGCGCTAAAAATGGCACCAATCGACTCGCCAGCATCTAATCTTACTTTCCCAAAACTCATTTGACCTCTCAAGGTCATGCGATGACCTAAGGTCATTTGTGGGCTATGTCGAAAATACACTTGCACAGCAGTTTTCGAGTAGAGGGATTGACCGAATTCCAAATCAAAGCACATCATCGGGTAGCCCATACGCCGTAGTAGCTTTCCTTAAAAACCGCTTTTCGATATGTGACCCCGTTTGACCTCGGCAGGTCAAAATGTGTCGAAAATACACTTGCACAGCAGTTTTCGAGTAGATGGATTGACCGAATTCCAATTGACTCGCACACAATTGGCCTACATTGTGTGCGAGTTTCAGCTTGATCGGAGGTGTCCCGAATCTGGGCTGAATCCGGGCTGCGACGTATTGAGTGTCGTTTATTTGCACATTTTGACCTGCCGAGGTCAAACGGGGTCACATATCGAAAAGCGGTTTTTAAGGAAAGCTTCTACGGCCTATGGGCCGATGATGTGCTTTGATTTGGAATTCTGTCAATTCATCTACTCGAAAACTGCTGTGCAATTGTATTTTCGACATAGCCCACAAATGACCTTAGGTCATCGCATGACCTTGAGAGGTCAAATGAGTGTTGGGAAATTAAGATTAGATGCTGGCGAGTGGATTGGTGCCATTTTTAACGTTCTAGCTCTACTGGGTGGGCCACAATCTGCTGTGCAAATTTGGGCCACGTGACCTTTGCTGACCTCTGTAGGTCAAACGGCTGGGAGTGCCACCGAGTGCCTTGGACTGTGGATTGGGCATGTCATGGCCTACATTGTGTGCGCGTTTCAGCTTGATCGGAGGTGTCTCGAATCTGGGCTGAGTCCGGGCTGCGACGTATTGAGTGTCATTTATTTGCACATTTTGACCTGCGGAGGTCAAACGGGGTCAAATATCGAAAAGCGGTTTTTAAGGAAAGTTACTACGGCCTATGGGCTACCCGATGATGTGCTTTGATTTGGAATTCGGTCAATCCATCTACGGGAAAACTGCTGTGCAAGTGTATTTTCGACATACCCCACAAATGACCTTAGGTCATCGCATGACCTTAAGAGGTCAAACGAGTGTTGTGAAAGTAAGATTAGATGCTGGCGAGTCGATTGGTGCCATTTTTAGCGCTCTAGCTCTACTGCATAGGTGGGCCACAATCTGCTGTGCAAATTTGGGCCACGTGACCTTTGCTGACCTCTGTAGGCCAAACGGCTAGGAGTGCCATCGAATGACTTGAACTGTGTGTTGGTCATGTCATGACCTACATCGTGTGCGAGTTTCAGTTTGATCGGAGGTGTCCCGAATCTGGGCTGAATCCGGGCTGCGACGTATTGAGTGTCGTTTATTTGCACATTTTGACCTGCCGAGGTCAAACGGGGTCACATATCGAAAAGCGGTTTTTATGGAAAGTTACTACGGCCTATGGGCTACCCGATGATGTGCTTTGATTTGGAATTCGGTCATTCCATCTACGCGAAAACTGCTGTGCAAGTGTATTTTCGACATAGCCCACAAATGACCTTCGGTCATCGCATGACCTTGAGAGGTCAAATGAGTGTTGGGAAAGTAAGATTAGATGCTGGCGAGTCTATTGGTGCCTTTTTTAGCGCTCTAGCTCTACTGGGTGGGCCACAATCTGCTGTGCAAATTTGGGCCACGTGACCTTTGCTGACCTCTGTAGGTCACACGGCTTTGAATGCCACCGAATGACTTGGACTGTGGATTGGGCATGTCATAGCCTACATTGCGTGCGAGTTTCAGCTTGGTCGGAGGTGTCCCGAATCTGGGCTGAATCCGGGCTGAGACGTAGGGTAGACCGGGGCAAGTCGCCCCGCCGAGGTAAAACGCCTCACCGATGTTTCTCGGAACTGGCAGAGTTCTGGGGAAACATCCTCTCTTCTATAAAACGTGCACTATATGATCATTATATGAGCAGACTGGAAAGAAATTGTGTTGACCTTTCGGGCGATATAGCCAAAAATGTGTTTTTTTGAGTGATTTTTATGTTTTCTTGTCAGATTATGCATCATGGCGTTCTTTTATGGTCCACATCAGGTTAACGACTTTTATGTATTTCGAACAACTATTGTTTAACGCTTATCATGCCGGGTTGGTTCGTGTTAAATTATGTCTTGCTGGAGTGCAAAGCGTTGTTCTCTGACCGAACTACGTGATGGGGTAAAACGCCCCAGTAGGTCGCGGGGCAAAAAGCCCCATGGGGCGTTTTACCCCATGTGTTGTTCGGGCTACCCACTTTCTAATGTTCGGTAGCTGGCGAACAGTAAGTTTCTATGCCTTTATGTGTATTTTTCTCAGCAACTGGATGGCAAAGGAAGCATTCTGTAAACATTTGCATTGCAATACTTTATTATTTGGTCCTTTGAGGCAGGTGAAAAACCTGCTCATACAATAGTGTCATAGCAGAGCACCTGACAGGATGGAATGTGCTAACTTCAGTGCCGTGCCTCCAGAGGTCTAACGGACCTCTCATATAAGATTTAGCCAACTACCATGTTTAATCTTTAACCCGCGCCCGGCTGGGGGTCCTGGATTTCCACGCCCTGCTGGGGGGGGGGGGGTGTTTGAACACCCCCCCCTTGTAACTCGGCTCCTGGGCCACGTAGCGATACGCGGAAGGCGGCGTTCGAAAGAGCGTCAAAAATAATGACGAAATCACTTCGGTCAATTTTTTGGTTAGGTCAAAGGTCAGGTCAACAGAGGTCATTGAAGGCAAAATTTCGCCGATTTCCAGGTCGAATGTCGAAAATTTCCAAGAAGCCAACGCATAACTCGAGAACCAATAAAGCTACAGCGCCGCAGAAAAGCGCATTCGATAGCCCTATTAAAGCCCTTTCTGAGTAATTCTCTCAGATTTGACCTAGCGTCAACGGTTTTGCCTGCAGGGGGCAAAAACTGCAAAAATAG